CTAAGATGATAAACCATTCTAGAGCACAGAGGATCTCGTTTCTGCCGGCTGGAGCTAATTCACTCTGTCCTCTGCAGAGGGACATGGCTCTCCATCTGCCACTGTCCTTACCTCTTCCTATTGCATTTCCAACACCCGACAGACCCGTCCCTGGCCCTGTGGATATCTGAGTTTGAGGCCCTCGAACTCTCCCTCTCTCCTTTTGCCCCTGAAAACAAAAGGAGTCCTTTAGCAAAGGAGAAGCTGGGGCACAGAGAGGTTAAGTAACTTGCCCTGCGTTGCCCAGCAAACAGGCCATGGGGCCAATCTTCAAGGGACCCCACATCCAACCTGGATGCTGTTATCCCAAGAGACATAAATCCATAGCCAAGGTGTCTGAGCAGAAAGAACCAGCAAGGGCCTGATAATGCACCCTTTTTGTGGGTGGGGAAACTGAGGCCCATAGAAATAAAGGGAACAGTTTAGCATCTTGTCCATGTGAAGCAGACTTTCATAATTAAGCCACTCGTTTATTCATTGAGCAAACATTACCGCAAACTACCAAAACCTAGGCCCTGTGAAAGGCGAGATGGAGACAGATAAGATACATCCCTGGCCCTCACGGGGCTTGCGGTCGCCATGTCAGTCAATGGATGCAATAAAGTGTTATAGGTGCAGCAACAGAAAAAATGCAAATAGGGCAACCCTGAAATGCCATTTATTTTATTTTTATTTTTTATTATTTTTTTTAAATGCCTTTTTTTTTTTAACTATTAAGTTGACAAAAAATTTTAAAAAGCAGAAAAGCAATAAGAGCCGGGGCTGGGGAGTATGAGTGTGAACAGGCACCTCGCGCGCTGCTGATGTGACCAGGAATCGCCATATGCCTTGGGACATGACTCTGTCAATATCCATTCCAACTTGATAAATGCCACCCCTCTAACCTAGGCATCGTCATTGGGGGGCTTATTTTCCAAGAAAAAAAGTACCAGAGGGTAAGGCTAGGGGCATGAGAGTTTATTCGAGTGCTGTCTAGAATGGCAGCAACGAAAATCAGAGAAACGAGAACACTGGCCGCTGGCCCTGGCGGTGCGGATCCGTTGGTTGGGCATTGCCCCAGGCGCCAGGAGGTTGCCGGTTCGATTCCTGGTAGGGGGCGTGCAACAGGCCACCAATCGATGTTTCACCTTCACATCTAAACCTATGAACCCAAAGCAATGCTCACAAGGCATTTTAAGTGAGAAAAAAACAAAAAACTTGTACAATGTGTGGTGACTTTTATTTACAAAGACCACGACCAGAAGAGGCTGCTGTACCAGTCTTTGGTGGGGTCCATACCTGCAGGCCCGGGGAGGGCAGTGCTGATAACATCAGTTATCCTGGGGCAACAGGGGGAGGGGGGAGGAGGGAGGAGAGGTAGCTATGCCCGCCCCCCCCATGGCAAGTGAGACTGAGCAATTGAATCGTAAATTTTATTTCATTTTTATTAAATAGCCACAGGCTTCCGTTGGGCCCGTCTGGAGCATCCACCTAGGAGACCTTGTGGGTCCCAGCGTGAGAGGTGTCACTGTCGCCAGGGCAGGCAAGTGTTGGTAAACCTTTCCCTTTGTGTAATGATTGCCCCATTTGATACAGATAGAGAGCTGAGTGACATGCAGACAGAGAGACAATTACCAAACAGGGACAGTAAATAAACGGTGGGTCCGTGGGGCGCCCGGAGGGACGCAGCCTTAGAAAATCCCACACCCGGGAATCAAGGGGAACTTGGCCGTGGCGACACCCGACGCGCCCTCCCTCGGCTGCCCTCAGCCCTTCGGTCACGTTGCTGGTGGATACGGACTTGACCTGCTGAGATGACGGTGGCATTTCACTGCCATGCCCGTCCTCCCCAGACCCTAGAACCCCAGTCTACTCGGGAGAGAAAACATAGGATCGGTGACCAGTGCTTCTCAATAGCCGTCAAGGTCACTGAAAACAAGGGAAGTCTGTCTGAGACACTGTCACAGCCAAGAGGGGCCCAAGGAGACATTCGACCAGCTGTACCGGGGTGTCCTGAGTGGGATCCTGGGACGGAAACAGAAAGTTCAGTCAAAGCTACAGAAACCTGGATGAACAGGCTCCCGCGAATACAACGTATTGGTGTTGGCTCTGGGGCGAGCCAGCGCAGTAAGGCCCTGACAGTGGAGGCCTGATTCGCTTGTATCAATGTCACCAAGGAAAAAAATATTTTCACTTCTGGGGGTGGATTGAATAGTCTTTGGACACAGAGTAACAGCTTTTTGGTCCTGGCTGACCTTGGCACGACTGGCATTTGGGGCCAGATCATTTCTTTGTTGTGAGGGGCTGTCCTGTGCGTGGTAGGATGTTGAGTGGATGGAGGAGAGAGTTGGGGGGGACCCAGAGGGGGCCAGGTCGGTGCGGACCTGCCCTCAGGCCGCTCCTGGTCCCCTGGGGAGAGACTCCAGGGGCTGCCAGGCTGCAGAATCCCAGAGGCTCCGACCCAGACTTGCAGGGAGAGGAGACACGAGGAACCGGGTCTGGAGGGAGGACTCGGGGGGAAAGGGGACGGAAGGGGTGGGAAAGTCCTGGATGAGAAGAGGAAGACCAAAGATCATCAGAATAGCAGCTGCTGTTCCCTGAGCCCTTGCCCCGCGCCTGGCACGGGTCTGTCATCCCCTCTCAGTCTCCCAAAACTCAGTAGCTCCCACCAGCCCCGTCTCTCGGGGCAGGAAACTGACGCTAAGGGAAGCTGCGCAGCTGGGTGTCAGCTGCAGCCCAGATGCGATGGACTCGGGAGCCGGAGAACTTAACGAGTCAGGAGTTCGGGGCTGGCTTCACCAGCTGCAGGGCAAACAGAGGTGAGAGCTGTCTGTTCCTCCCCGAGGGTGAAAACAACCGTCAGAATCCCCACCTCCCGCAGCCAAGGACACCGTGATCTCGCCACCCTCGGGGACACTTCCCGGGAGGGGGTGATGTAACAGAGCTCTCTACACTTGCTCTCTGGAACCAGACACGCTTCAGATGCTGGAGCCCCAGGCATGAGCCGATCCCCCTGAGGTTTGCACAGTGACAGCGGCCAGCCTCCCCCAAGACCCGGCAGGAGCTGACCGGTCAGAAAGTCCCCGGCACAGCCAGACTCTACCTGGTTCTGCTCTGATTCCTCCTCAGGGGGACCTTGGGTGAGGCCTGCCCTGGTAGGATCTCAGGTTCCTATTCATGTGATGGGGCACAGAACCACACATGTACATGTTTTTTATATATTTAAAAATGAAGATCTGCCCAGATGGCAAATATTCATGAATGGATGCATAGGTAAATAAATGTGGGCTGTCCACACAACGGAATACTATGCAGCCATGAAGAGGAACACAGCACCGACACGTTACAACATGGGTGAAACTCTCTCAATAACGTTATTACTTAAACGAAGGATATGCCCAACCAGGATGTCAACAACAGTGGTGTATATTTTGTCTTTTCCCCTCTCGTTGTTTCTTTTATGATTGATTTTTTTTTTTTATTGGCTTTAGAGAGGGAGGAAGGGAGAGGGAGCGAGTGAGAGAAACACCGATGTGAGGGACCCATCGATCGGTTGCCTCCCGTCCGTGTCCCAACGGGGGACGGAACCAGCAGCCTGGGTATGTGCCCTGACCGGGAACTGAACCCTGACCTTCCGGCCAGGGCTGACTGATTTTCTTAACTTGCCTTTTTCAAATCACAGCAGTGACACATTCTGTCTGCACGTGAGCCCGGGCGCCCCATCACTTAAGCTCCTAGCCCCGGGTGCCTGGCGAGTGCCTGCGGACGTCCCACCGGGGAGGGGCCCGGGCGCGCCTGCGGGGGGTCCGAGGGCAGCAAGCGGGCGGCTTGTCCCGCCGAGAGGGACGGCTCTGCCGGCTGTCCGAGCCCTCGCCGCCCTCGGTCTCGTCGATATTCTTGTCCCAGCCCACGGGACACGAGAGCTTTGTTGATGGGTCCAGGGAGCGGGCCCAGGGCTGCGTGTGTGCCGCCCTCTGCACAGACGGACCCCCTGCCCGCCGCCAAGGACAGACAGGCAGCTTGGCATGGGGAGCATGGGGCGGGGAGTGAGGGCTGGTGCAGGGACCTGCGGTTCTGTGACAACGATGACGATGGTGACGCTGATGACAATGGCTGCTAACGCTGAGCCAACGCCGAGTTCTGGGCCCCTTGGGCACCTGCGTTACTGTGTCAGCTTTTCCCAGGAGAGCGGTGCCATGATCAGCCCCATTTCACAGAGCGGCAAGGGGAGGCTCCGGGGGGCAAAGCGGCTGCCCAGGGCCACGCGGCTGGTACACGGCAGTCAGGATCTGAACCCTGGCCTGCCTGGGCCGCACCCACAGTGCCACTTCCCCCGCATAACAGAATCGTAAGGGGATGGGAGCCGAAGGCAATGAAGAACTGACCGGACTGTGCGACCGGGAGTCGGGTGGCTGGGCTCGAACGCCGGCTCGTCCCCCTCACTGTCTGTGCCTCAGCTTCCCCTTCTGGGAAATGGGGTAACGGCGGTGCCTGGGGTTTGTGTCTTGGGTGCCTCTCTGTGCCAAGCGCACGCTGGTGACTTCAGGTGCCTTGTGTCACGCCATCCTCCTGGCAGGCTTCCCCACGGTCCTCGGGGGGTAGCCACTGTCCCTTTCGCGAAAGAAAAAGCTGAGGGTGGGGAAGGGGAGGCGGCAGGAGGAGAGGCAGCAGGAAGCTGCGCGGTGAGGAGCCGGGGCCTCCCCTTCCCCTCCGGGCAGCCCCAGGCCTCGGGCCAGGGGGCGGGGCCTGGCGGGGGTGTGGCTGGCCCTGCGGCCCCATTGGCTGCTCAGAGGCGCCCCGGGAATAAAGCCGGGGCCTGGTAGCCCTGGGACAACTCAGAAGACCGTCCTCCTGTCCATCGAGCCTCCATCCGTCTGTGGACTGTCCACCGGTCCATCCACCTGGACCATCTCCAGCCTGTCCCTGCCTCTCTTGGTCCAGCCACCCAGCTCCATCCACGTGGCCCTTCCTGTCTCCCAGCAATGACTTCCCGAGAGCCCCTGCACGCCAAGACCCCCGTCCGTGACAGCATGGCCCTGTCCAAAGTGGCCGGCACCAGCGTCTATCTCAAGATGGACAGTGCCCAGCCCTCGGGCTCCTTCAAGATCCGGGGCATCGGACACCTCTGCCAGACGGTACAGGACAGCTCCAGGCGAGGGTGGCAGGCCCCCTTTCCTCAAGGGGGCAGGGCCAGTGCCACGTGAAATCCAAGGAGTTCCAGGCGAGGCCCAGGGGACCCCCACAATGCCCGAGCACCCGCCCTTAGCACTTCCTCTGGGTGAGGGGTGCCCGTCGTGAAGGCCCCCTACGGGCTGATCCCGGAGCTGTCAGTTGCCAGCCTGTCCATCACCCTTCCCTGAGCCGGGCTCTCTGGGGAGGAGAGATGCCATTTGAGAGGCTAGGGTCGCACAGCTTCCGTGTGAAGGAAGGAGAGCTCAGTTAGAGTCACGGGGGGGGGGGG